GTAAGCGCGCGGTGAGGTGACCGGCCTAGCGGCCCCGTTCGAGGCGGTGTTCGGCGAGGAATAGAATGGCGGTGCGGGGCGAGGAGTAGGGAGGCGAGGCGCGCCGCTGCCCGTCCGCCGCTTATGCGACCGCTCGCACGTCTCCCCGCGCGGGGCCACTAGGCGGACGCATCTCACTGCGCGGTTACATTCGCCAGTAGGTTGGGCTAATACGGCGATTTTTAAAATTTCGTATCTCGATAACTATTCGTCCAAGCGCAAAATAGTACAATACTTTTCTGTTTGTCTTAGTCCCCTCTACCTTCCCATGACCGGACGTCAAAGTCTTGCGTAGCACCCTGTATAATTTAAAAAAGTAAAGTAAAGTGTGCAAATTAGAAATTTGCACATGGCTTCCTCATAGAGGAAGGTTTAGGAGCGAAATCTAATTTTTTTCGATGTTTCTTGAAAGTGTGCGAATTAGAAATTTGCACATTGCTTCCTCATTATTTTCAACTATACTTGAAAGCTGATCCTCTTTGGTTTTTGCAAATTTAGGCAACTCAATAAATATAAAGTAAAAATCTGTTAGATCATGTTGATTATCATATTTTTCTCGCTCCCATGAGTTAGCACAATGATGCAGAGACAGTCATTATCCGTATGATCGAGCTTGCTCACGTCTTGTATCATGTCCACAACTTCGCTATGCGTGAAGTCATTGTAAATTTCCACGTCAAATCCAAGATTCCTGAAAGTTACTTCCAGTCTCTTGGCGTCCAATAATGAACCCTTCCGTTGGGAAGAAAAGTTAAATCTCTCGTGATTGAATATTAAGCACTTGCCGCGATTTTTATGATTCATATTATAGCAATCGGCGTCCTTTGATACCGCCGTAAATGCACCGGGTTCTTCGATGGTACAAGTAGGATCTTCCGTTACTGGGACTGTGACTTTAGCGTCGATTGTGTCTATTTTTTTCTCATTAGCTTGGGCTTTGGATGTTCCCGCGACAGCGAAACTGGCCGTAAAAGGCTCATACTGCTCTTCTGATATCTGTACGAAACTTCGACTACGGTACTCGTCGAATAATGCATACGTGTACGCACGGGACAGACATTGGTCCCCGTACGCGTGTTTCAACAAGATATAGGCCTTATGTTTGTCACTTAGAAATTTCGCTAAGCTGTGTACAGATGGTACAGCATTTTTCTTCAGTTTTGTCAATCTCGAAGATGTCCGGTTCAAGAATTTGTCATCAAAGTGTAAGGAACAGATGACGCTTCTGTCTTTCACAATTCCTTTTTTGATATTTAATATTTTGATCCACGTTGCTCTTTTACGTGGATCAGTAAATGAGTGCAGCATTTTTCTTCAGTTTTGTCACTCTCGAAGATGTCCGGTTCAAGAATATTTCATCAAAGTGTAAGC